AGAGAGAGAGAGAGAGAGAGAGAGAGAGAGAGAGAGAGAGAGAGAGAGAGATGTTAACTAGAAAAAGAATACGAATATAAATAGACATGCATGGACATTTACCTGGGGTGTCTTGTACAGTTTCGTCCATCTTAAAAGGAAAGACAATCTCCTCAGTACGACATACTACACACTCTGAGCACAGAATCCTCACGCAGACACACCAGCACACATAATATCTACATGTGTTGTTACCGTGGCGACTCACCAACGCTTTCTTACCTCCATTGCCGGCAACGCGAGACGAGGATGACGTCACTACAAAGCCTTCTCGTCTGCCCAGGTCACGTGATCTTGTTTCGTTTACCAACGGGACCCGCCCACCACCTGGAGAAAAATAATTAGAGAGGTCAGTGTCCAGTTCAGATGTATAGGCTATTTATAGTTTACGTCTAAGGTTTCCGCTCCACGCACTTGGAGCTAACGAGGCAAGCTTGATAATTAGAGGTTAGGGGCAGGGAAAGAGCAGCGGGGCTGGGATCGCCAAGGATCAAGCGCGACAACAGGCATAATTATGATAAGGAATGTGTAACCTCTAACTGGCTTGGCAGACAGGCAGGACAAGACAGACAACACAGTGTAAACTGAGACGAAGCGAGAGACACAAACGTGTGTCATCGTGGGGAAATCAGGCGGTCGTCAAAATACTGAAATTGAAGGAACCAATATTTTCCCGCTCGCTGGGCAGTTCATATCGAAATAATTTTTGTAAGGGGTGGGGGAGGCTCAACACCTGCTCTGTCCATTTAAAAACACATTTCTATTTAGGTTTTATTAAAAAACATAGATCAAAGGGACAGAAATACAAATTTGCAGTTTCTAAGGACACTGCAGCTTTGGAAGGCATAAAACTTTGGATTCCATTTTCTTGCAAATTTACACCAGACACCAAGCGACCCCACCTCCTACAAAAGCAAATATCTCGACTTCTTTTCAAGATTGATGTTGTTGTTTTTTTCCAACAAAAGTGAGGTAAATGAACAAGCTTTCTGTTAATACCAATAACTCAGAATGCTCCAAAACTGACGAGGGCGTGATTCCACAGTGTCGTAATACAAGTACATGACATAGACACAAAGACGTGCGCTGTACACAGGGTCGGTTCAGATAGTCTGGCATTGTGTTCTTTCATTGTGAAGCCAAACAGCAAAAATTCCAATTCAATGTCTTCTAGTTGGGGTTTGTTTCAAATGTCTCACGCTGATAATCATAATATACACAACCCTACACTTCTGTTTGCTCATGTAACAGGACTACTGGAACCCGCTAAACCTTGAAGGTAATGGCATAGGAATTTTGATCAGTGTTCGATTTTTTTTCTTGGTTCCTTTCCAGCCGAACCCGTTTTGGTCGAAAGAGTTTTGCGGCTGTATACAACCCCCTTTAGTAGATACAGTCCATTGACTTCCCCCGAGCTCAAAGCATGAAAAAACAAGGTGTCACTTGACAGTTCGTATCAGGTTTCCCTGTAGGATACAATCAGCCGTTAATGGGTAATTCCAAAGGAATGGAGAAAAATATGGCTTTCAGAGGTATGATAGGTAGTGTGTGAAGATATTTTCATGATTAAAAGAAAACAAAGACAGTTATGCATGCAACTGAGCACAACAGTTTTTGCGGAGCTATTTTCTGGATTAATCTTCGCCGCACCAACTGTCTAAGTGAATATAACGAGCTGAGTTGGGAGGTAAACGTACCTTGAAAGATACACTGATCTATTTTCTTTTTATTTAGATTTCAGTTAAAGTTTTACCTCACTTACAACTCAAATAGGTCATACAAGCGTCCCCGATTAGAATTACTACTAGAGAGTAACGTACAGAGTAAAGAAAGAGAGATAAAAACGATAGAAGTTAGATAAGAAAGAAAGAGTAAACCACAACAGAGCATCCGCCAACCACTCACAAACTATATATGGTACAAGTGCTTTGCCTTTAAAAAGTAAAAGGAGAGACCATTTTAATTGTTTCTCTGTACTGAACAAACGTTTTCTTGCAATGTGGGGTCTTTCAGATCTACAGTCTACAGACTTTAGGGAGTGCAAATTCGGTCTTCCTGGTGAAAGATGAACTCAACAAAATTACATTATCCATAATACGTAGGTTCTTCCATATCCGTTACTATTCTTAGCAACAGTCTCACTTTCTTTCCCCAAACCAGAGCCTCATTGACACCACCTGCAAATTACATTTAAATTAAGAATCAAATTAAGAATCATTCACCAGAGATCGACAATTTGACCGGATTTTCGTGCCAGCGTAGATCGACACAGCTGGTTGCTATTGGGATTGTTCTATTGGCTAACACGACAGTCACAGAACGGACTAATAAAAAGGTTAAACTATTTTTTCAAAGGCCACTCTCAGAGATAATTGAAAGTGGGTAAGAAAAATGTGTTCTTCTTTAGACAAGGCAAACGGACATAACAAATAATACACCCTGACCCAACGATACACAACTCTTCCCCCGTCAACATACACACACACAAAAACACACACGCACACACACACATACACACATATGCACACACACACACACACACACACACACATACATACATAGATCTACATCCACACCCG